GATTTTCTCTTCTCTAAAAGAAGAAACAATCACATTTGCTCCTCACTAAAAGTGCTGCATAACAAAAATAGTGATGCTAAAAGGCAATCATCTGGAAAGCCCAGACTTAAGGACAAGGGGAGATTAAAGGTTCTGCTAGAGCAGGTCATGTGGGGAGAAAAAGAGGAAAAAAGAAGAAAAAGAAGAAATAATGAAAAAAAAAAAGGGAAAACCTGGCTAAAATGCTCCTATTTCCAGGCTCACATTAAGTGTGTTTATTTGTTACTCTTATTACTATTCCAAACAACAACAGCACACAGTCCTGTGACAAGCTGTGTATGCACATCAGCGTAACTGAGATATCCTCCTACTTCCATGGCAAAGGGGGTGTCAGTAATATCTTCCACTGCTTTTCAAGCAGGCTGGAGGAGCACAGGGCAGAGCCACCCATCAAGGGCAGGGACTCCTAGAGAGGAACCTTTGAGCACTATTTCTATTCCATTTCTCTAAGAATATAAAGGGGAATTACAATTAAATCTGTAAATGCAATTCTTTGAGGATTTCTGCGTTACTGTAAGATTCTTAGTGAGAAACGACTCTTGAAATAGTACCTAAATCTTACAGGAGTCCCCTTGGATTATGGTGCTTTAAGTTTCAAAGCAATCTTTCTATAGGTTTATTCTTTCCTTGCTTTTGCTTTAAAGCAGCAGGTCTTCAGCACCACCTTTCACAGTAAATATACACTTTAATACCAAATCCATCTCTTTGCCCTGGGTACAATTCACACCATAAATATCCAAACTTTAAAATTTGGGAAAATATTGGGATGAAGGATTAAATGCAACAACCTGTGATGTTTCTAGAAGAAAAGATGATCTGTGATGTGACCAGAAAAAGTAGTTTGGAATTACAGCTCCTTGTCTATAACGATTTCATTTGGGAAGGGATGGCACTGTCCCATTAATGATGGCACTGTCCCTTATCCAACTGATACAGCAAATATCAAGTAGCACTTAAAAAGAACCTGGTGCTCGAGAACTGCTTAGAGAAACTAAATGGGAACTTTAGGGGCCTCCTCTTTCTCGCCCTGATCAGATGACTAATTCCTCTAATTCCAAACAAATCCATTGAATGAGTGAAGAAAATTTGGGCACACAACTAAAAGTGTCCCAATTCCGACAATGAATCCATTTTCTGTTTAAGATGCTTCCAGTATGAGCTCATTATGCTGCAAACTCTGCTTGCATGAAAGTGATCTGCAACAATCCCTAAGCCTGGGGCCCTTTTCCATTTGGGATTGATACATAGGATGTAATCTGCATTTTTCATTCCGGTCTAACACAGTACAAGCAGTGTGGCTGCAATTCTGCTGTAAATCTGATGCAGGAAATACAACATAGGCCTCCAAAAATATTTCTATTGGCCTTCGAGTGGCTGCAGAGCCTGTTTTGTATGGAGAAAAAAGAGGGGGGAGGAGAACGACCCACTGCAAAATTCAGTTTCTTCCATGGTCAAGGGCATCTATTTCATTATAAATGTAGTTCTGCCAAAACAAATATTATTTTTGAATCTTTCATTATCTTAGGCTCTGGAAATGGGCTAAACCAGCATGTGTTGGTATTAGATGCTGCAGAGCCAGCTGTCGTGCCTGGCTGCACAGTGTCTCAATGTCAGCAGTTCAAAGCACTGCGAGGCTGGATGGGAGGAAACTTGATAGGTCAGAGGAACCCAATTCCAGGCAGAAAGCACGGAGCTGTCTCCCGCGAGCGGGTTTTCCTGGCTTTTTTCACACATATAGAGATGGATACTGGGATGTCTGTGTTTTAATGTATTTTCTCTGTGTTTCCATAAAATCTGCTGTGACTTGAACCCAGAAGAGCTTTGGGGTGCTGGGGGTGCTGCCAGCCCAGGCAGTAGGCATGGAGATGGATCCCCATGCAGGAAAACCCTTGGGACACAGCAGCACGAGGGCAAAACCCAACCCAAACCCAAACCCAACCCAACTTAAAACCAATCCCAATCTCAAACCCAAACCCAACCCCTGCACTTTCTTGGGATTGTTTTAGTTGTTTTGTGTGTTAACGGTTATTTTTGTTAACAGCTACTGCTGTCAAAGCTGCTCCTGGGAAGTGAGGAGCATGGCAACACCAGCATTCCAGCCTGGCTGCCAGTGGGGATGCCACTGCTGCACCCGCCCTGAACTCTGGGGGAGGCCCGGGCCTGACAAGTGCCCTTTCCCCTTCCCCTTCCTTCCCCTTTCTCATTCCATTCCTTTCCCTTTTCCTTTTTCATTTCCCTTTTCCCTTCCTTTCTTTTCCCTTCCCCTTTCTTTCTCTTTTCCATTTCCTTTTCCCTTCCTCTTCCTTTCCCTTTTCCCTTCCTTTCTTTTCCCTTCCCCTTTCTTTCTCTTTTCCATTTCCTTTTCCCTTCCTCTTCCTTCTTTCCCTATTCCTTTCCCTTTTTCCTTTCCCCTTCATTCTTCCTTCCTTTCCCTTTTTCCTTTCCCCCTTCCTCTTCCAATTCTTTTCTCTTTTCCCTTTCCCTTCTCTTCCCCCTTACCCTTCCTTTTCCTTTTTTTTCCCCTTCCTTTTTCCCTTCGCTTTCCTTCTCACTTCCTTTTCCTTTTGCCTTTTCCCTTTTTCTTTTCCCTTTTCCTTTCCTTAGTCCCTTTCCCCTTCCCTGCGCCGGGGCGCCCTCTGCTGGGCAGCGCTGCCTGTCCCTGCCCGGCCTCTTTCCCCCCCCGCCCCAAATCCCCTCAAATCCCGATTTCCCTATAACCATCGGGTTCTGCCTCGGGCATCACCCACCTCGTCACCAGCCTCCGCTCCAGCCACGTACCTGCACCAAGGTGCATCCCGGAATGCACAGACACCTTTAAGACAAACACAAGGGATGCGAACGTGAGAGAGGGGAAAGTTTACAGCTGCTGCCCTGTTCTTTTGTTGGTAGCATGTATTATAAATATATAAAAGAAGAATAAAATACACCCAAACTGTACGTATTATAAGGCTATATTTTTATCTCGGGGTTCTGGTGACACGTACAAACCACTTGAGCTTTGCTTTCGTGGTTTATATTGCCACCAGAAACCCTTGATAAAAATACAGCTTTATATGGTGCAGTTGGGTATAGTTTATTTTCTCCATATATCACACACTGTGTTTTATTTATAAACACACACAAAGACACTTGTACATGCAAAGCAGTTCTTTTATTGAAGTAATTCGGGGGTATCAATAATACCACATTAACTAACGCGTCGTAACACAGTAATTTTTGGGTTAGCAATGGCCTTTTCTAAAGAGACATCTATGAAAATATGACCAAACACATAAAAAAATCACTATTTCCATGTTAGGATTTACGATTCCCATACTGAAAATTTCAGCTTCTGGTGGCTGGTACTTGCAGAGAACCCTGCTTAAACCACCTCAAAAGTGAGCTTTAATATCTCCTGAATACTGGGATCCTTTTGCTTCACACAACAGAGAAATGCAAAAAGCTAAAGGGAGAAAATCAGATGGTAAAAGGAAACGTGCTGCTGATAGAGGTGAACCTGTGATGAGCTTCCCAGTATTTTGCCCAAGTTGTGCTGACCAAACTGCTTATTTCAAATCCACGTTTCATGCAGATTGCCAGCAGCTTCTCTTCCACCCTGCTTTTTGTACCGGTGAAAAACTGCATCCCCATCCCTCATAATACAAAAAGAAAAGCTGGGAACAAGCAATCCAACAGCCACTTGCTTTTAAATCCACCCGGATGTGCTCTGTTGACGGCTGTTTAGGTAAAACCCCATTCCAGGCTCTAAAGAAGTGAGGAGAGACCCAGGCAGGCGGCTTGTGGGATGCCCCCTTAGCAAGCCAGATGCTTCCTTGTTGGGCTTGCACCTCACATTTGCCACATCCCTCCCATTCCCTTCCCTGTGCTCTAATGGACATTAAAAATAGAACAAACCAGGCCTGGAGATGGGAACAAACCGGCTTGGACTGCTATAGTCACTCTGCTGTAAAATGTAAAACCAAGAAAGGGCAGATGAGCTGCATCCCTCAGGACACATCCCGCTTCTTTAATACAGTGGTGCCACCACACATTTCACTTTGGATGTTGCATTATATTTCCATGTCACTCAAATATTTACCATTTCTCTGAACTCTGCTGGGTGCTCTGAGAGCTTGTTATAAGCCAAGTACCCACGTTGTGTGTGCTGGCTGGTTAGCAGCCGTGGCTGCGCTGCATCAATACGCTGCCTTCTCCTGATGGAGCTTCTCGTGTGACAGAAGCCACCCTTTCATGAGGTTGCCTCCTCCGTAGTTGCCGCTCTGCCCGCTGCTGCAGATCACCCTGTGGCACGGGATTAGAATCGGGATCTGCAGAAGAGGCAAAAAGAGGAAGGGAGCAAAGGGTGAGGTGGAGGGGAGAAGTGGATGGGGACCATGCCCACAGATCTGCTGCTAAACCAGTAGACTTGCAGGGACATGGGCTGAAGGATCCATGACAGAGGTTCTGCTGGTGGGGTCAGTGATAAAGAGCCTGTGGTGGAGTCCCACTGCGGTCAAGGAGGAAGGGGAGCAGTGGATGCAGGAACGGGGCTGATCACGGGCTCGAAAGATCAACCCAGTTCTCAGGAAAACCTAAGCATGGACAGGAATTTTAATACACAAAAATGATGTAAAGACACAAAAAGGGGTGGTGGGACACTGGCACAGGGTGCCCATAGAAGCTGTGGCTGCCCCATCCCTGGCAGTGTTCAAGGCCAGGTTGGACACAGGGGCTTGGAGCAACCTGCTCTAGTGGAAGGTGTCCCTGCCCGGGGCAGGGGTTGGAGCTGGAGGAGCTTTAAGGTCCCTCCCAACACAAACCAGGCTGGGATTCCATGATAGATTAAATCCTACCTATAAGAACTTCTCTGCAAGAAGCAGATGTTCCTGCCCCACACCAGCAGCCAAACCTTCATTGCTCAGGGTGGGTGATGAAGCCTTGTAGACCCAAAACGTACACGAGGATAGCAAGGGGGTACAGGACAACTCTTAACCATCACCCCCAGACAGAAGGTGATGTATTTCTGGAAGAAAACAGCCCACTGAGAAGAGCGCTTCCAGAACTGAGCTTCCCAAGCCCCTGCTCCTTCTCTCACTATAGCACCTCTACATGTGCTGCAGAAGAATTCACCATAAGAACAAGGTGCTATTTATTATTTAACATCAAGGCAATGCAAAATGGGTTGTGAATTGTTAAAACCTCCAACAGGAGAGATTTAATTCAGGAGGCCTAACCAATTTAAGAACTTATTTCCTCCTGCCTTCTCCTTTGTACCGTTTATAGCCAAATGTCACGGATTTGGAGAAATCAATGCAGGAAGTTACATGAGAGACTGATCATAGAGAAGTACATAAATGCATTTTTTATTTATTTTTTATTGCAGGTGATTATCATAGTTGAAGTACACACCATAAAAAATGCAATACATCATCTCTAATCACCCTGTATGTGTTTTTGGTAACTGCATAGTCATTCCATTGCAATGATAGAGCTGTGAAAGCAACTCACTGAAAAGTGCAGTTTTCACCAATTGGGATATTTTAAGTCAAGAAGTGTGATTTACTTCTACATAGACACACAAATTACATACTTTACACAGATCTATTTTAATCCCATCTAATAGTTAGTTCAGTTGAGTTCTAGCTCTGCTTATATTTGTGTCTGCAACACACAAACCCTGAACATCTACTGGCCAGACCTCTACAAACGGGGGTTTTTTTGGTATTCTTTTGGTTTTGTTAAGTAACTTCAATGGCTGAGATTTTCAATCTCAATCTCAGCCCACAGGCTACCAAACTAAATGGGAACACACAGAGGTGCTTATTGTTAATCAAGGTTTAATAAAGAAATGCTTATAAATAGCTGCTGTACTTGGAGCTGACCGTGCCATAAGTGAATTATGCACCCGTGATAACTCCAGTGAGCACCAATAAAACCTTTACACGAGGCCATCATGATCTTGCTTTATGACATTAAAGAAGTTGCTGTTTGGAAGGGTTTTTCTGGTTTGGGATTTCTCTGTCTTCACAATCCGCATACACAAGTTACTGCAGCCAGATTTCCTGGAGTGACAAAGCCATAACAAGCCATAATAATGCACATCTCCAAGGTTAATTTCCAATTCCTTAAAATCAGTGCATTTTTATGGTAAAGCTATAAACCTTTATTTTCAGGTGGTGGGAGCTGTGGGGTCTTGGATGATCCCGGGGTTGGGGCAGGACCTGTTCACTAATGCAGTGGTTGAGCCACTTACATTAAGCAAGAAGCAGCTGTGGCTGCCCCATCCCTGGCAGTGTTCAAGGCCAGGTTGGACACAGGGGCTTGGAGCAACCTGCTCTAGTGGAAGGTGTCCCTGCCCGGGGCAGGGGGTGGGCCTGGAGGAGCTTTAAGGGCCCTTCAACACAAATCAGTCTGGGATTCTATGAAGAAAAGGCTGTGAAATAAAAGCAGCTTTTTCCACGCTTGACATAACGAATTCCACACCGAGTTTGTCCTCACACACACAAGTGCCACTACATCACCTTCCACAGCATCGAATGGAAAAGAAGATGTGGTACAAAGGCTGTATCAGGGCTGTAATTTAAAAATATTGAATATTGCTTCAGTTTGGCTTAATTGTGGTGACAATGTTCAGCCTACTAAAATAATTAAACCTGCTAAAATTTATTAGGGCCCTAAGGACATTTTAGAGGGAGTACTACCCCAGTCTGGAGCTTTAATGCCTCAGCTACATTTAATGTAATTTTTATCAATAACCAAGCAGCTCATAATATTATAGCTCTGCTGAAATCTTCATGCTGTGAAATCTAATTCATCTAATACACGAATCCATCACTTCCACAGCCCCTACCTCAAACGCTATAAAACTTCCAAACCCATAGATTTGTCTCCAACAAAAATAACATGAAGGGGCCCTCGGATCAATAACGGAGTCCCTCTGATTCGGGCACCAGCTGAATATTTTCTCCAACTTTTGCTTTTGTTCTTCTGGGTAGAGGCCCACAAGGGAAAGACATCAATACCTAAATCCTGGTGAACAAGTGACACTGAGAAGCTGTAATCAATAGCTCCCTGTGCGTTTTTTCTTCTGGTCAAATGGCTCAGCACTACTGACAGCCCTGACACTCAGAACATGATGCTAAATCTTTATCAACAGCCATCTGGGTGACTGGCAGAACAAGGCTGGGGCGGTCATTAACGCTCGTGGCAATCTGTGAATAAACTAACTCCTCGATAATGCCTTTGTTTAGAAAAAAGGTGGGGAAAAAAACTCCCTGTGTGAGGAATCGATCGCCTCCGAGCTGTGGTTAGTGAATTCCGGCTGAGGATGGAGTGGAGGAGCTCTGATCACTGCAGGGCTTCTATTGGAAGTGATGGAATCCTGACTGTCCCGTTATACCGGGGATGGGCTGGAGACCTCCTGAAACTGGCACCCTGTTAAAAGTGGATCAGCCCTGATGGAGGCAGCTGAAATGCCAGGCTACAACATACAGCAAGAATCACGCTCAGTAAAAAGTCATCTTTCCATTTGCTCATGTCCTATTGCTTTTCCTCCCCTTCTTCCCTGACCACAGTGTGATCTAGAACGAGCCCGGGTTACTGCCAGCCACCAAAGGCATTAATGCACAAGTAGCTTTATGTGTTCTCAACATCTGAAATCCATACTTCACAACCATAGAATCCCAGACTGGTTTGGGTTGAAGGGACCTTAAAGCTCCTCCAGCCCCAACCCCTGCCCCGGGCAGGGACACCTTCCACTAGAGCAGGTTGCTCCAAGCCCCTGTGTCCAACCTGGCCTTGAACACTGCCAGGGATGGGGCAGCCACAGCTTCTCTGGGCACCCTGTGCCAGCGCCTCAGCACCCTCACAGGGAAGAGCTTCTGCCTCAGAGCTCATCTCAGTCTCCCCTCTGGCAGGTTAAAGCCATTCTCCTTGTCCAAAGCCCCTCTCCAGATTTCTTGTCGGACTCTAGGTACTTGAAGCTGTTGTAAGGTCTGTTTAAAACATTTTGGCTGAATAATATCCTTGATTTAGGATAGACCAATATTAACATCAAGTTGTAGACTTGGCCAGGCTTTAGCCTAAGGGGTAACGCAATTGTAGAGAATACAAACCCCAGCACAGGCAGCTACGACTGCTCTTAACAGACCACTGAAGATGTCACATTTAAGGCACAGAACAGTGATCTAGGATGGTCTTGGACTAACCAGCCCACCTTCTCATGAAGTTGAAGGTCATTGTGTGAATCATGGGAAGCAACCCAACCACGAAGGGAAACCTGTGGAATGCACGCTACTGGAATTAAAGACCAACCCCTGCTTTGCAGAAGTGGGGGAACGTTCTGGTATTTCATGGAAGAGGGTGAGACTGGCAATACTATCAACACGTTTGAGGGACAAGGCAATGCTGGGCTCGGGCTTATTTCAAACGCTCATCTTCACTGTTATTACTACCCTCATTAAATCATGTTTATGATTTCACCCTGTTTATAATTTATACCTTTAATCGTAAGAAGGATCTCAAGGTGCTCACATGCTCATTTTGCTATTTTTCACATCTTCCACAGCGATCATTAATGGAAGGATCCACTTTAACTCCACGTTCCTGATACAAGTATTCACTAGCGCCAGCTTCCCTCCCGCAAACAAGAATCACTAATCTGCTGCTTAACAAAACATCCCATTTCTGCACCAATTTCAAAGCAATTGCACCTCCAACGTGGTGTTCCCTTCCCAAAGCTCGTGCTGCAGGTGCAGCAGTTGTTAAGACCACAGCTCTTTGCATTCTGCGCCGGCACGTTAATGATGCTGCAGCCCAGATGACGTGTTCGGTTTAATGAACTGTTTAGTTAGATTCAGAGCTCAATATCTCATCTGATAAACAGACTGCAAGGGTGTTTATACACATACCAGCTTCTCAGGTACCCTACCATTCCGAGCAGGTAGCATACTACCACACAAACTCACATCATGTCTAATGGGTTTAAGCTTCTAAGCTCAATAAAGAAGTACACCCTGATATTTTAAGCCTCTATCAGATTTTCCTATGGAACAGCTCATATAAGCAGCATAAAGCTCCGTTTTGTCAATACACCGTATTGTACTTGACAATACAAACTATTTTAATATGATGGAATGCTTTCCAATATCATCTGGTGTACATTAAGATAAGGCAATACAATGCAAACCTACAGGAAACAGTTCTCAAAGAATAACAATATAGTGTTGTGCAAAAGGATATGTAATTGCTATCGCCTAGAAATGTACCCAGCTCTGCCCTCAGGCTGCAGTGGAGCAGCAGCATCCAAAGTAGCAGTAACAGCAGGTTGTGGTGTGAAAATTCCTGCTTTTTCCCCTGTGAGGGAGGATGAAAATAGTTCTGAAAATATACAGCAAAGCTACTGCTGTTTTTTTTAAATGGGGTCCTATCTTATTATTGTTATTTCCCACCCCCTCTGATGGCTCCAGTGTTTTCTGTCCCCAGCAGAAGATTTTTAAGCATTTTATCGATAATAATGTATAGCTTTAGGGAAAAAGAGCTATGTTAATATAATACCATGCTAACAGTTCATAACAGAAAGCTGATGATAAACCATAGAAATCAGCGCTGTAATGAGAGCCCTGCCCATTCCAAAACACATTTTTATCTCTACACATCTGTACTTAATCTGTAATTTCATGCATATTCCACAGGCAAACACACACATAGTCCTTTGGCATTTCAATATGAGCACCTATTCACTATGTTGTTCATATTTCCCATATAAATCTTTAAACGGTTATGAGCCATAAGATGCAGGTTTCCTTTGCAGGTTGATTTTATGAATGAGGTGAAATATAAAGATAACAAGTGGCACTGCAAAACCCTTTTGCCTTTGTTATTTCTACAGGTAATGCCACCAGCTCTTGAGAAAGCAGGTTTTCTAACCCACCTTGCAACTGCATGCTGCAGTCTCATATGTACCTTATTAAAGAAAATACTGAGAGGACTGAATGTAAAAACAACACAGGAGGTCAAAGATTACAGCAGGTATAATGCTGGAGACTAGGAGAGGAATTTGGGTATGGAAAGACACATATTGCTCAGGGCAAGTGGTAATGAGGGAAAATATGTTGAAGAATGGCCAAAAAGGCCACCGTGATAGTAACAGAAATCACAGGTTTTTATTTTTTAGAGGAGCCAAAGTAGCAAGGGGATGGGTAAAGACAGATAAAGCAATGTTCTCTTTCCAGCTTTTCCTTTCCTGTGCCCAGGAATGAGCTGCTGCAGCATCAGTCCCATGTGGGATGTCCTGGGCTGCCCCTGCTACTCTATAACAACCCAAACTTGAACCACGTGGATGCTGCTCCTGCAGTCCAAAGGCCAAACGCTGAGGGTCTGGGGAATCAAACTGCCTCCTCCCTCCTCGTGCATCCATTCTAGCCCAGAAACCCCCCAGTTCAGAAGTGGGATAGGGCTGCTCTAGTGGGATCCGAACCAGCCACACAAGGACATACAACCTGCTGACTCTCACCAACCTCACTCACACTGACCAGTGTGATTCAGGTGCATAAATACATGTGGAAAGCTAAACCAGGATAACTAAAATGGAAAGCTAACTACTGGGAAGATGGACAAGAGACCAAGTATGAAAACAGACCATTTTTCCAAAATCCACAGGCCTAACCTGGAGCACTACTCCCTCCAGTTGGTCCAAATCCAGGAAACTCATAGAATCCCAGCCTGGTTTCTGTTGGAAGGGACCTTAAAGCTCATCCAGCTCCAACCCCTGCCCCGGGCAGGGACACCTTCCACTAGAGCAGGTTGCTCCAAGCCCACCCCGCCTTGGAGCCCGGCCGGGGTGGGGCCAGCCACAGCTTCTCTGGGCACCCTGTGCCAGTGCCTCAGCACCCTCACAGGGAAGAGCTTCTGCCTTAAATCTAACCTGAATTTTCCCTGTTTCAGTTTGAACCCATCACCCCTTGTCCTATCGCTACAGTCCCTGATGAAGAGTTCCCCTCTGACATCCTTGTAGGCCCCTTCAGATACTGCCCAAGCGACTTCCCTCACCTAAGAGTGAATCAGAACGTCTGAGAACAACAAAATGTGTAGAGGCTGATGAATTGAAAGAAGTGTTTTTTCTTTCAAATCAAACACCAAAAATGGCAGGGAATAAATCCTATTAAACTGGGTGGTGCATTATTGCTGATTAAAAACACACACTGACCTTATTACTCGTGGTAGACCAGTTCTGAGAGCCGATAAATTTAATCTAATGCCATTTAGCCCTCACAGCTCTCTAAATCCAGCATCTTCCACCAACTTCATCTCAAAGTTGACATGAACTTACAGGGTTGCTCCTCATGGCTCCTCCCACCGCCCTCGCTGCTCTGCTGTTGCCTGCCAGGTCTGCCAAGTGCTTGTAGGAAACGGCCTCTCCAAACTTCACGTCTCTCAACAGGGTCCACAGCACTTTGCTGGTGAAGGAATCTGCCGGGAAGAGGAGGCGAGCACCGTTGGCGTGCACGGCTGAGGGAACCCAAGGTGAAAGAGTCCAGAACCCCAGCGCAGAGTCTCAATAGCAGCTTTCTCATTTACATGGGAACAGCCCCGACGCACTGTCCTGTGATTGTGTCCTATATTACTACATTTAAAGACATGATTATTAGAAAGAGAGCTTCAAGTAACCGATCACTATAAAAGAAGGATTTAAGGCTTTGATTTTCCTATATTTTTAATTTGCTTCGAGTACAATTATCCCGTTAACTCAGACAATGTGGTTTTCCCATTAAATTGGCAGAGTATAAATTAGCATAGAGTCAAATTAAAAAGAGAAGATATAACCGGCTCTACCTATCTGACAAAGCCCTCGCATCTCCAGCTAATTTCCAACTTCAGCTGGGACACGTGGCACAAGAAGCCCTAGAGCCAGTGGACTCGGTATTATCCTGCCTGACTGCATTTTATAGTCGAGACCCCCAAGCTACTGCTCAGCATTGCAGACATTACCAGACGTAAGGACTAGCCATGACCTTGAATATACAGCACATCCTTAATGATACAGGGCTCCGAAACAAAATATAATGTATCTTCCATGATTTTAATTCACCAGCAAATTGCTTCTAAGTGTTCCAATGGTTGGAATAATGAATAAGCAAATGCATTAGGACCAGTTTCCTTCTGCATCTCGGGGTTTTACCTTACCCACCCTTTATAAAAGGAAAACCTGATGGATGCATTCGGATTTTAGTTGGGTTGAACACT